TTCCACTTTACAAAGTGTAAGAAAAACTTACACTTTATAAAGTGTAAGAAATAGTTCCATTTTATAAAGTGTAGGAAATAGTTCCGTTATATATTAAAATATACACGTTATGGGACTAACGGAAAACGTTTAGAATATTAGATAAAGTGGAATTTTTTCTTCCACTAAGCTTATTTTAGTTACTTTCTAAAGTAATGGCTTATTTTGGTCACTTTTATGTTTTTGTGGCCTATTTAGGTTCCCAACTCTCTAAAACACTACGAAAATGAAATATGATGAAAAATGAGATTCGGAGAGTAGCGGAAATTGAGATGATCAGAGGCAGGGGTGAACCCTAATTTCATTATTTTTTACCCCTTTTTAGTAGCTTTCATTCTTTTTGTTATCTTGATGGCTCAAACTCACAATTTTAAAATAAAAGTGAGAATTACCATCCGAGCAACTGCGGCTTATTCTCTATCCAATTGAAAAAGCGAATACCTCTGCGCATGGCCTCAAATCAACAAAAAGTTTGTGTTATCCTTTTTTACCCAAACATATTTCATCACGTGATTGAGGCAGACTTTTAAATATTCCCAAATTAGCGCTGCTGACTCAGCCTCTTATTTCATTGCCACGTGTAAAATTAATTTATTTACGTGGGCCTTATTGCTCCCCGCCACCTGACGCAATCAAACAAAATCTTCAATAACATAATCTACCCTTCTGTCATTTGTGGCTCACAATCCTTTGCTTTTAGGATTTGAGGCTCTTATTCTTTCCATCTAAATCTCACATCTTATTGGTCCACGTGGCACATTTTCCTTCCAATTTTACCCCTTCATACACCAACTTGCTTGGTGGGGGAAAATTATATTCCATGAATTATGCTTATGCAAATTCTTTTTTTTTCCCTCTCTCTATTGACTTTACTAAATACACCTTATATTCTTGATTTTGGTAATAAAATGGAGGCTCTTTAATTGTTACACGAAGGGTATTATAGTCAATTTTATTATAAGCTTTCGTTTTCATGTGGACAAAAATAATTGTGATGATAAAAAAAGTGGATAAATTTATAGCCATGGCAATTTACAATACCACTGCCGCTTGCCTCTGTTTCCAGTAACTGTGAGTTAATATATTGCAAAAAAAAAAGAAAAGGGAAATATTTATATATATATATATACACTTCCAAGTTGCAAAGGTCACTTCTTTCCAACACATATAATCTTCTCCTAAGCTAAGAAGAAAAATCCTATCTTTATTTCCACTTGCTTTCTCCTATAGTTTTGGCTAATTTGGGAAAGTTTTCTTCCTCATTTTCTTGCAATTTTCAGAAGGGTAAGTTTTTTTTGTTTGGTCTTTAAGTTTATGGAGGTGAATATGGGGTTGTTGATTCTTGAGCTGGTTTTAGTGCTTTTTGAATGATTTCAGTTATATGTGTGGTTTTGCTGGTTGAAGTTTTGTTCATAAATTTGGAGAAAGGGTGTTCTTTTCAAAAAAAGAAGCACAAAGACTTCAGCTTTGGGGTTTGATCTGCCTATGAGTTTGTTTTATCATGATTTATGGTTGAGTTAAGTTGATCAGTTCTGTTTTGTATTAGAACTTTAGGAGCTTCTCTGAATTATGTTTTTTTTTTTCTGAAATTAAAAGTTCCTACCATCTGTTTACTCTCTCTTATTTTTTTTGGCTAGGATATCTGGATGGAGGTCTAGATCTCAAATTTAAAGTAACTTGTAATTGAAATTTGAGATGAGAGTTTGCATCTGTCTGTTTTAAATATTGGAATAGAGTTGAATTGACAGCATCCTTATTCTTTTCATTGGGGGTGAGAGTAGGGGAAATGGGGAGGGGACTACCAGGCGGGGAGTCGAACCTCACCAACAAAGTGAAAGTTGTAGTCAATCAACTCTGATAGTTCAGATAGTCAACAAACTCAGCTACTAAAATTCTTGAATCGGCAGTATCAGTTTCTTGGGAAATACGGAAAAAACTAGGGGAAATAAGATGATTATCTTTGTGTTTAGTTGTGTTAAGATTTATGTGGACTTGGTGTATGTTGAACTTGCATTTATCTACAGCTGAGAAATGAGATGAGTAACTTTTATCAAGCTTGGGGTGGGGTTGGTCATTAAGCTTTCTCAGTTGTGTTCTATCTTGATTTCTCAAATTTTACCATGATTACTATTCTACCAGGTTAATCTTATGGAGTGGTTTTCTCGCGTTGATGATGGTGATGTTGTTGTTCCTAAAAGCTTTGATGGTTTTTCACCATCTTCTGATAGCTGGTCACAGTGGGATTCAACACCCTTTGGCAATTTCAAGTCAGAAATGAAAAGGAACAATATAAGGTCATACGTTGGAGCTGAAGATTGTAAAGTGATCGGGAATGGCGTATCTAGTGATGTTGACATGAAAAACTTTGGAATTCATGAGGAGCCTTTTGATAATGCAGCTAACCAAGCTTCATACTGTGATATGGATCAATGGTCCTCATATCCACCTGAGCAGCTGGAATTTCATCTTGATAACTTTACCTCAATCGATCAGTTGGATGATGTGTTCCTGTAAAGCTCTTAACTCTGATGAATTTTATTTGGTTTCATTCTATTATTGAATTCGTTGACCAATAGTTGTGGAGTTCGATGGAAGAATTTGTCATTTTTCTCAAATGACTGATAGAGTTCTTATGTTCCATTTTGCAGAAGTTCCTTACTCAACGAAGACTGTCCAACTGGAATGGATGCATCTGATGAGTCATCAACAGATTCCCGTTGCAGCATGCTGCTGGATGATGATCAAGTAAGAGATATGACGAGCAACGCTTGTGCTGGTACTGCCAAATATTTCTCTGCACATGCTTTTACTTCACCAGTGGATTGGGAGGGGCAAGAAGTTAACAATTCTTATTTGCTGAAAAAGGTGATGCTTTTGTTCATTTTGTTTCTGAAGGGCATGAATTTTCATCTAACAACTCCAATATGTGAAGCTGGAGTTGAATCATCAACCCCAGAAGAACTTAAAGACTTCACTGCATCTATATTATGTCATCTGAGAGCTCTAGAGGGACCAGCCGATAAGTTAATTGGTCCGGTGTATTATAATGAGTTTCAGTTCATTATGATGTCTTACATGAAAAGATTTTTGGCTCACTTGGAGTTTTAAATTTGCATTGAGGCAGATGCAGGGAACAATCCAGGTTACTTCTCATGCTTTTTGGTGGAAGGAAATTTTGGGAATATTTCACCTGCATTCAAGCAGGGGCGAACCTTGCATGATATTTGAGGGTTGAACTAAAATTTGAAGGTAAAATATCAGAATTATCCTAAAATCTCTAGAACACAAATTTGAATTTTCTCTTTCCTGGGGAATTGAGGTTGGAGCAGCTACCCTTCTTTCTGACCTATGGAGGTCTGTCCCTACTCTAAAGACGGCTTGTAACAGTGTCGAATTGTGCAAACCTCATGTCTGTGGGTCACTTTATTTTGGATACCGAGGGAACCATGAGCAGAATAATGTTTGAACATGTTTGCTTGTAAATGGTTTCGATTTTCTAGTACTATTTGAACTGTCCATTTGTACCAATTCAACCAAGTTGAGACAGATGCCATGGTATAATTCTTAAGATAAGCTAGAGCTGAGTTTTTCTGTTACAATTTCTGAGAGGAAAAAAGAAAAGATATGGTTGTGTTGAATTCATCTCTCTCATTATATCATACTTTTTGAGGCAAAATCTAAGTTGAGATCATTTCTGTGTGAGTTTACAAGTTGTCTCCAAGTGATGAACATTTTTAGCTTTTAGTTTCTGTTAGCTGATAGAACAGTCTAATGAAGTATGATCTTACAACAACTGTTGTTGAACTCAAATGACCATTTAAGTTCTCTTTGGGGTTTTTCTTTTAGTTTTTGGGTGTTGATGTGTTTGTGGGAAGGGGAGGGAAGTTTGGTGCAGAGTTTTGAGTTTAGTCTTTGTCCCCTCTATTTTATTTCATAGGACTGGGCAGGTATAGGTGCAGATGTAGGAGGAGACTACTATTTGTTTTGGGTTTTGGTTTCATGGGAAGTTGTCGAGGCATGTGGGGGACATCATAAAGGAACTAGGCAGCTGTCTATACATATTTTTGGATTTTTATCTGATGGTAATTAGCAGAAACATATGCACACACATTTATTCTCATTTTGTATAGTGTCTTTTTCATTTCAACTATTTGTAAGCTTTCACCTATCTGAGTTCTGAAGTCTAAATCATTGAAATTTTATTCTCAGGCACCACAAGCAGAGGTTGCCGTAAAATTGGAGCATGATAAAGGAGATAATAAAGTGAGTGACGAGGAAATATCCATGGAGGAATCCGTCCTACAGCACCTAGAAAATCTCACATCTCAGGTAGTGAAGGTTTTAAGTTTTGGGTTTACCATTGTAATATTGTGGTCAAATGGCCAGGTTTACTGAATTTGTGCTTGTCCTGATACCAAACAGCTGACAGAGGAAACCAGAATCTGCTTCCGGGATTCTCTATATCGTCTTGCAGGAAATTCAAAACATGATGCATGTCAAAGTAGGAATGCTATGCCAGATCAAGATTCTACGTGGTTAGTGCGCATGCTCAATTACTTTCATTGATGGACTAGAGTCTAGAGCTTGTTAGTGAGTTGTTACACATGATGTTGTAGCTCATGATTAGGGAAGACTATAACAGATGTATTTCTGTAGGCTCTGCCTGGTTGAAGATCATTAGAGGAATTATATCTTTATTTTGTAAAATCTTCCAGTACTTCTTGTACTTCCTATACTTAAATTGTGTAAAAAGCTTTCATTGTTTTGTGTACTTTCTATGCTCAAAATTTCACCATTGTCTATTGGAAATGAAAAAATAAATGGAAAAAACAGTGGAGAGCTTTATTTGAAGCCGAAATACACCAAATAATTCAAGAGGGAAAATGCAGTATGAAAATCTTGTCATCATTAGATGGAGGAGAGTATTGGTATTCCTGTATTAATGTGCATTATTTTCTCATACTGGAAAAAAACATCAGGTTCAACGAGGAAGAGACTACAGAATCGCGGACGAATGTTATTGACAGAACTGTCGCCAACTTTTTGTTCAGCAACGTTGAGTTTGGTGCCTCTGAAGGCTCATCATTGGACTTTACAGAAGCCACCAACATAAGACAGCATTCAGGAGGCGGTATGTTATGGAATATCTCAGCAGGTTCCTCTGGTTGTGATGCCCCTACTTTTAGCGGATAAACAATGCACTCTTCACTCTGCTGGGCACTACTACTTTGCATCCTAGTTCTTACATTTCGTTCAAGATATTATAGCATGGTCGTCTTGCATTATCTAGCCTGACCTTATCCAGCTATGTTTTGACGAAAGCTTGTATAGTAGGCGTGATTAGAGGCTAACCATGTTTACTTCCGTGTCTGCCAGCTGATCAATAGCTCCTTTCATATGATAGTCGCCTTCCGAGCTCCAAGAGGTCAAGAAGACTGTTTTGTGTAGGTAGGTAAAAAGGGGCGACTGTTGAATCCTGGCATTTCTTTAGACTTCCACGAGTAATGTAAGCAGCGTTCGAAACGCTGCAAGGAGCCCTGTTTTTTTCTTTTAGGCTCCAGACATGTTAGTCAGAGAAAAAAACTTTATTTTTAGAATTTTGTAAGCAGCTAATATTTTTCAATTTGGGTAGCTTTACCAACAGTTGTTTATATCTTTTGCTACTTAAGAGCTTTATATGAGCAAACAATATGAGACCAATGCAAGGTTTGTTGCGAGTATTATATGGTTGTTAAGCTAATTTCTGATTGTTTGGTTGATGTACTTGCAACTTCATAATATTGGGTATACTTGTATTAGTAGTTGCTGTAGGGTAATATAGGCATTTAAACTGATGTGGCAGTGGTACAGAATAGTTGTTTAAAGAAATCTATCAAATATATATAATTTCTCCGTCCAACAATAGTTGTTTACTATACTATTTTGGAATGTCTAACAATACTTGTCTATTTTATAAAATTAATGGATAATTTTACACGTAGTTTTTCTATTACATTTTTAAGATATTGTATTTATTATATTCAAAGAGTGATAAAGTAAAAAAAGTGTGTAAAGTCAATAAAGGACAAATATTAACACTTTGAAATTCACATTTGAGTTTTCGTACTACTGGTCTCCCAACCAATTGCAGATCCCCACTGCATGTATTTGATCGGTTTCGTACAAAGTTGTTAAGAGGAAATGATAAAAATAGTCTTTTATTTAATAGTATGAAGTATTTTTTAATTAAAAAAGAGGAAAGTTTTATTAACATAAAAAAGTTTCACCAAATTTTAAAGTATGCAACCAAAAAAATTATACTAAACGCTACAAAAAAGAAGAAGACAGAAGTTACACCTAAAAAATCCGTCTTTAGAAAGTAGAAAAATTGTTCAAATACATATTTTAAAGGACGTTATCTGCCTCTAAATCTGTCATGTTTTTCATGCGTATTAAGTTAATTTTAAAGTATGCAACCAAAAAAATGACAGATCAGTCTCTAGAAAATAGATAAAAAAATTGTTCAAATACATATTTTAAAGGACGTTACCTACCTCTAAATCTGTCATGTTTCTCATGCCTATTAAGTTAATTTTAAATATGCAACCAAAAAAAAAGAAGACAAAAGCTACACCTAAAATATCAGAAAATAGATAAAAAAATTTGTTCAAATACATATTTTAAAGAACGTTACCTACCTTTAAATCTGCCATATTTTTCATGCGTATTAAGTAATTTTAAAGTATGCAACCAAAAAAAATATACTAAACACTAAAAAAAATGTCAGAAGTTACACCTAAAAAATCAGTCTCTAGAAAATAGATAAAAAAAATTGTTCAAATACTACCTCTAAATCTGTCATGTTTTTCATGAGTATAAAGTTTCCAACACATAGGCCATACCGCATCAAAAGCTGTGGTGCAATACAGTTTAGGGCCGAGCCAACTTAGAGTCGGGATTTTCCCAAATAAACACTAAAAAAAATAATAGAAATTATTCCTAAAAATTCAGACTCTATTTAATATATATTTCTTTCGTTCATTTTTACTAGTTACTGTTTGACTTGACTTAAATATATTTATTAAAAAAATAATTATTAATGTAAGTATTTTACCGTTCCTACTAATTAATGTTTAGTATTAGGTCTTGGAAAATAATATGAAAAATAGCGTTTAATGCTAGGGGTAAAACACGAACAAAATAATTATCTTTTTTAATATGTCAAAAATGATAAATAAAAATGAGAATTTATTTTATGAATAAGTGACGAGTAAAAATAAACTGGGTAGTATTTTAAAGGACGTTACCTATCTGCAAATCTGCCATGTTATTTCATGCGTATTAAGTTGACAACACATAGGCTATACCACATCAAAAGATGTGGTGCACAGTGGCCAGCTTATATCCAATGGTTTCATTTCGGGAAAAATACATGATTAAAATTATTTTTTATATAACGTAGATATTGAACCTCTTTGGATTAGTTTGTGTGTTTACTTTTTTTTCTCGAACTTCTTTAGTGAATTTTGGCTCTGCCACTGATACTATAGGTATGGTTGTTCGTTCTTTAATAGATGTCTAGACTTCGAGGCTTAAATATTAAAAAATCCTTAGTAGCGAAATTATGTCATGAATGGAACCAACTAGGGATGTCAAATGAACGGATTAAGTGGATTAGCTATAATTGGGCTATTTTTGACGCCCCTAGAGTCGGCCCTTCACAAATTTGAACTAGTCGACCCCACCACTTCTATTACTAGCTTTCATTTTTACTTCTATTACTAGTATTACATATCTAGTTCTATTTTCTTATGCAAAATCAAATCCTTGCCATCAACGCACAATGATGACAGGATTCACAAATTCTATCAACAGCCAATTCATCACTAAAAAAACAAAACAACAAGAAACTCTAAGTGAAGAAGAGCTTGATGAGTTTCTTACTTGTCTTCCCAAATAAAAAGGATGGACAACTTGTGTTTGAAGCCTTAAATATGAAACATAGCAAAGCTATGTCCCGAATGGAGCTCTTCACAAATCTGAATTAATCGAACTTCAATACTATAAAAATACTGCGGACCACATCTATTACTAGTATTTTACTATATATGTAGCTCTATATTCTCATGCAAAATGAAATCCTTGCCATCACAACACACAAAAATGACAGGCACCACACATATCTTCAACAGCCAATCGATCACTGGAAAACCAAAACAACAAGAAACTCTAAGTGAAGAAGAGCTTGATGAGTTTCTTACTTCTCTACCCAAAGAAAAAGGATGGAGAACACCCAATTTGTTCCTCTTCCAAGGCTTCTGGTGTCAACCCAAGGAAATCCGAGCCATAATTTCTATACAAAATCATTTTATAGCTCAAGATACCGACGTGATACTCGCCACCATACCAAAATCCGGCACCACTTGGCTAAAAGCACTCACATTCGCCATTGTTAACCGGAACAACTTCAATGTTCACCATAATCACCCTTTGCTCACTCACAATCCTCATGAACTCGTACCCTTCCTCGAGTACAAACTTTACGCTGATTCTAACCGCCTCCCTGATCTCTCCCTCCTTCCTTCTCCGAGGATTGTCGCTACCCACGTACCTTTCGGTGCATTACCCGATTCAATTAAGACCTCAAATTGCAAAATTATTTACATTTGCCGGAACCCTTTTGATACCTTTGTATCAATTTGGCATTACCTTTGTAAAATCAGGCCTGAATCTCTGGGTCCTCTTCCAATTGAGGAAGCATTCGATTTGTATTGCAGGGGAGTTACAGGGTATGGTCCTTACTGGGACCATATGTTGAGTTACTGGAGAGAAACTGCACCAAACAAGGTGTTGTTCTTGAAATATGAAGAGATGAAAGTAGATACATGTAATCAATTGAAGATATTAGGTGAGTTTTTGGGGTTTCCTTTTACAGAGGAAGAGGAAAAAGGAGTAATTGAAGATATCTCAAATCTTTGTAGTTTCCAGAATATGAAAGATTTAGAGGTGAACAAGAAAGGGAAAGGAGCAATTTCAGTCTTTGAAAACAGAGATTTGTTCAGGAAAGGTGAGATTGGGGATTGGATGAATTATTTTACACCTTCCATGTTTGAGAGACTTTCCAATGTTATGGATGAGAAATTAGAAGGCTCAGGGATTACCTTCACAGTCAGTTGACTGTACAAATCAAGGCGTGTTTGGTACGTGGAATGAGAATAATTTCAAAATAACTTTATTTTGTTAGTATTTGATTTGAGTGTTAGTTAATCTATGCTTTTTACTTTTATTATATTGTTATTATGTAAGAATGAAAAGTTTTAAGGATCAATTTGTTGTATTGTCATTTTTTTTAATAATCACATTCTATCCTCTAAATTTATATTACAGCAAATATATTTTACTTAGATAACTCATGATCAAACTAATCACTTTTTAAGATATATTAAAAATGATTTCCATTATATTTATACATTAAGAACCAAATGGAACCTAAGCCCCATACACTAAGAAACCATTTTGATCATTATCTCGAGCTAAAAGAGACTTTAAGTATGAGAATCATTAGATATTTCAAACTAGAACTAATTCTATACAAAATTAAACATATAATAATTACGCACAGGCAGCCGTGTTGAACCTGCGGAGGTAGAAACCGGAGAGCTTCTACAGATCGGACAACTCCCACTCTTCTGCAACCATTCGTCAACACAATCGGCGTGAAAACAGTGATGACATTCCGGTATACAACGAACGGAATCCTTCACACAATATTCACACAAGCATATTGCGCATGTATTCGTATCACTAAACGAACTAGGCAATCTCTTACTTTCACCCAACACTACTTTGGGGAATGACTCTATAACCGGCCGATCCAATCCGAGGAAGTAGCTATAGATGTTGTAGTTATTATTATTAGTCTCATTTGAAGAAGGCGATGATGATGGCGTAAAATCTCCGGCTAATTTTACACGAAGACAAGCGTAGGAGGCGAACATGATGATGGAAATGAGAATCAAAATGCCGACGGCAATCGCGATGCCGTAATTGAGACTGATCCCAGAATCTGCAGGTAAGTTAAATATGGACATTTTTTTTTTGTCTGTGTGAATTGTTCAGGTGTGTAGCTGCAAATTAATTGAAGAAGAAGAAAATTAGGGGAAGAAATAAATGAGGTTGGGTACATGTTGTCACAACCAAATAAATGATACTCCCTCCGTCCTATTTTATATGATGTACTTTGATTTGACACAAGCTTTAAGAAAAATGGAAAGACTTTTAAAACTTGTGGTCAAAAATGAATAATAGAAATTTGTGTGGTTGTAAATCATTTCATTAAGGGTAAAAAAGACATTTTATAGGCAAATTGTTACTTAAAATAGAAATGTGTCATTCTTTTTGGGACTGACTAAAAAAGAAAGTAAGTCATATAAATTGGAACAGAGGGAGTAGTAAATACTAAGATACATATTGCAAAGGCCAAACACATACACAACCCCTCAAACTTGCCCTCATTTTTTATTTTGACAATCCAACTTAGCCTTGTTCCATTTTAACTTTTAAACTCCATTTTTATGTACAATTTAAACATTTATACTATTTTTTATGATTTGTTTTTTTTTTATGTTCTTCAATAGCAATTTCTTATTTTAAAAAAAATAGATGTGTGCCTGTTAATTTTCGTAAAAAAATTAAACATTCGCGAACGAACATAAAAATTTTTCAAACAATAATATTATTTTTTGATATTTCTCTATATTTTTGCATGAAAATAAATTGACGGAAGTTCTTTGATTTTCTTTCTTAAACATTCAATTAAATTAAATAACACTACTTATTTATTTTTTCTTATCATCTAGGCTATCTAAATTTAACGCAAATACTCACTTTTAATTTTTAATATAAATCAATACGAATAAAAAAATCCATCTTCAAAAAGACTCGACTGACTTTGTTAATAACACTACTAAACAAAGACTCTGATTCATTGCTAATAACACTACTAAACAATGTTAAAACTCGACTGACTTTGTTAGGTTGTCGGTGATTTTAAGAAGAAAACCAACACAATTTCGTCGGTTATTTTTCACACAAAAAATACATAACACTATTAAAAAGAAATTATTATTTTTTAAAAAGAATTATTTTTTGTTAATTTTTATTTTTTAACTAAAATTAACTGACACATGTCAATTTAAAATAAGAAGTTGCCATTGAAAATATATATAAAAATAAAGAAATCATAAAAATAATATTTCGTGTTAAAATGAAACATAAAAAATAGAGTTTAAAGGTTAAAATGAAACAAGACTAAGATAAAGTGTCAAAATGAAAAATATGAACAAGTTAGAGGGGTGTGTTTGGCATATTGCAAATTTGCAATGTTCATCATGTGCATTAGAAATTACACAGTCTACAGTGAGTTTGAAAATGAGATCCAGGTCTACATTGGGAATTGGGCTTATAGCTTAAGAAGAGGAGGAAATTCTGGGACCGAACAAAAGTGTGAATTGATTCCATTTTTTTAATGACCGTGATGTTCGAGCCTGTACAGGATATCTGTCACCTCCTATTAGCAATGGAAATATCAAATAACTCTATCTAGCAAGACGGCTAGAACAAATGAGAGTTTTTTTTTGTAACTTTGATTTCATCTTTAACTTACCAACTTCCATCAGGATATTTTGTTATCCATTATCTCTCTATATGTGTATATATTTATGTATACATATAAGATAATGAAAACAAAGTTAAACAACATTACTTTCTTATATCAGTTGACGAAGCCGATCAGCGGCGACGGTGGCGGCCCGTGAAGTACGTGCCTATCTTTCCAATTTTAAAATTAGAGTGGAAGTGTTTTTTTATTTATAAACTTATTTCTTTTCTAGCTCTTTAGTATGTTTGAAAAAAATTCTTTCATTTTTTTTATTCATAAGATAACTTTAAAGATTACTAAATCAAACCTCATTCACACCAAAATATCAAATAGTATAATCATTTAATATCTTTAGCCTAAAATATACGTTAAGAAACTCAAATCGTGACTGATGCAATTGAATTTCCCGTAAGGTGGTTGAGATGGATTTATTTGGCATATAATTAGTCTATCTACCTATATTGTTAAACATACATATCTTAAGCTTGCTCTACTTAGTCGACTCATTATGGTGTTATAATTGGTCACATGCCACTTCGATTCAAATTAAGACATTTTACTTGTAGGATCTGGTTAATCTCTTGTAATATATGTTATCATCTTGTATTCCTAAGATACTTAGAACAAAAATTTGAAGACTTGACAAGAAACAATAAAGTTTAAAGAATATTTTCAAAATTAGAAAAGTAAAACTAGTAGAGAAAATAGAATCATAAACATATTAGAAATAATATACAAAATATTTTTCTCAAAGAAAGAAAATCGAGCCCACTGAATGCACAGTGTCCTCGTAAGGAAATTATTCCCCTCAAGTACCCGAGGTTAATGAAATATATCCTCCCAGGATAGAACGATTTTACTCACCGGTGTATCGGTACCTAAAATCACGGTGTCAGCGAACCACTTAACGGCAGTAAAGTATACTTAGAATACTAGATTTAGTAGTAATAGGAGAAGTCCAGAAAATTGGTTCTCTTAAAATGAGAGGAAATCACTCAATTTATATAAAACAAAGGGTAGTGTGAAAAAGTTCTTATTGTGCTTTACCAGAAAGGTCACAACCTTTTGAAAAAGTCACAATTTTTGAAAACATAGAAGTATCAATGTTGGACTAGGAAATGATCTAAAATTTATAAGAAAAATGTCAAAACCAAATTCCGTAAAAAAACACTACAATTCTTAAGTAGTTATAATAGTTAGATTCTAGGAATAAACAAATAAAATTTCAGGCATTAGAAATTAAAAAAATACATAAAAGCGTTAATATAAAATAAATAAGAAAAAAAAACTTTAATTAAAGACACAAAAAAATAAAACAAAATAAAAGAAGAAAAAAATTAGTAGACTAAAGAAGAAGAAATAATGTCGTTAGTAAATTTTAAGTAAAGCTAAATAACAAAAAATAAAATAAAATTTAATTAAAGATATATACAAAGAAATTATGACATAATAAAATAAGAAAGGAGTTAATAGAATACTTATTCTTCTCCTAAATTTAATACTAATTTCCTAAATAGATTGGTTTTTTCTCTAAATAAATCTTCTTACCCTTTGAAATACTAATCACTCTTCCTATAAATTTCTCAATCAATATGAATTTTTTTTTCTTTCAATATAGAAGAAATCAACATTCTTTCAAAAAGACTTCTACTTTGAAAAGAAATTTTTGTTACATAATCTTTCTCTTTTCACCAATATCTTTAGAAGGTTCGTGCCCTTTCTTTCTTTTTTCTTGGAAAAATCACAAGGTCTAGAATTTTGCTGGACATCTCAATGACTAAATTTGATATCCGTATATTCATCATCACCAATATCTTTAGAAGGATCATGAGATACTATCTCTTTCCCTTTTCTTGAAAAAATCACAAGGTCTAAATCGCTCGACATCTCAATATCAAAATTTGATACCCATACATTCATCATCATCATTAGAAGAAGAAGAGAAAGTGAAGGATTCCACTATTGTTGATTACAATACTCACTTTTATTTTATTTTATAGGCTAAATAATTATAAACAGTTATGAAACATGAAAATGTTTTGATCTTTTCATCTTCCATTTACTTAAATGTGTATTAGCATGATGGAAGTTTTAAAGGAGCATGATGTAATGCATTAAAATATTTTTCAGTTTTTTTTTTGAAATTACAAATAAAAATAGAAAACGAAAACAAATGTAAAAAAAAATGAGATAAAAGTATTTTCTATAGAGAGGTGCCACATCAGATTTTCTATATCCAGCTTTATATATATATATATATATATATATAGATTGGTACGGAGAAAAATATATATATATTTTTTTAAAACGATAAATAAATAAATTTCTTTTTTTCTTTCTTGTATTTGTCAAGTAAATAGAAAATATTATTTTAAAAAGTATTTTATATATTAATCCGAGCAAACATTACAAGTGGAAGGGTGGTATGTTGTAGGACGGAGAGGAGACAATTAATAATGTGGGTCGCCATTTATGAATTTTGTTTTCCATACTTTTATCGTGATATTTCTCATTTTTAAGTAACTTGTTTTTTTAGAGAAAATAAATTCTAAATTTTTTGACCAATTAAATATGAAAATAAATAAATATATACTTTAACTTATGTATATTCTATTTAAAAATATTAGATTAGGGATGAAGGAACTGGTCATGCTGAA